CCTCTCATCCCTCGGACCGCTAACGGGCCCCCCGTCCTCTCCCTTCCCTCAAGTGGCCGAGCGGGTGCTGCAGCAGGACCACCGGCTACAGGGCTCGGAGCTGAACCTGGTCCCCCACTACGACGTCCTAGAGCCCGAGGAGCTTGCTGCGGACGCCAGTGGAGGGGACCACTCGGCCAAGTTGGGGTCTGGGGCCACTGAGCATGCCTTTCTGGAGGCTGGAGAGCCAGCGAGGGCACTGGAGGGTGTGGGGACTGTGACCTTGGGCTCTAAGGAGGCACCAGGCCAATCAGGAGCCTCTTTAAGGACAGAGCTCATCGGGTCTCTGGGGCAGGCCGCGCCAGTCAGTTCGGGGCTCGTGGGGTCCTCGGACCAGGGGGGGCTAGAGAGCCTGGGGCTCTCGGGGTCCTCAGGGCAGGCCGCGCCAGTCAGCTCGGGGCCCGTGGGGTCCTCGGACCAGGGGGGGCTAGAGAGCCTGGGGCTCCCGGGGTCCTCAGGGCAGGCAGAGCCAGTCAGCTCAAGGCCTGCAGAGTCCCCAGGTCCCGTGGGCTCAGTGGAGAATGCCCTGGGGCCTCCAGAGCGGGTGGGATCAGGGAGCCTGGAGCCTGGGGCGCCCCCGGAGCAGGAGGGGCTGGTGGAGATGGTGCTGTCGATGGAGCCGGGCACCATGCGCTTCATGCAGCTCTATTATGAGGACCTTCTTGCTGGCCTGGGAGATGTCGCCCTCTTCCCACTTGAGGAATCAGACATGACCGGCTTTCGAGTGAGTGACCTTGGCCGAGTCCTCGCCTTTGGCCCCCTCTCCCCCTGCAGCTCTAGGGACCTTTCCGGTGCCCTGAACCTGAGAGCTGCCCCTCACCCCTCGCGTCCTGCAGCTCTGTGGAGCCCTGGCCCCGTGCCAGGCAGCGGAGGAGTTTCTGCAGAGTCTGCTGGGCAGCATCAGCGACCACGTGCTGAGCCTGAAGCACCCCGGCAGCGCCAGGTTCCTGCGGGGCCCCGAGGGGCAGCACCTGCTCCGGGAGCTGGAGGCTCAGTTCCAGTGCGTCTTCGGGACGGAGCGCCTGGCCGGGGACGCCCTGGACACAGACCCCGCAGAGGTAGCGTTGGAGCCTGCGCCTGTCCCTCCCCTTCCTCACTCCTCAGCCCGGCGCCACCTCCACCCCTGCTCAGAGGCCAGGGAGGGGTGAGGGCCCGTGGACTCTAAAGTTCTCTCCTGACAGGTGGACCCCACTGAGGCCCTCCAGGCCCTCCCTGGCCAAGCCCACACTCCGTGGCCCCTGGACAGTACAGGCAGAGACCCGGAGAACCTGAGCCTCGGTAGGGCTCCCTGGGACACCGGCACGTCCTGTGGCCCTTTCTTGACCTCGCCCTCTGCCTTGCCTTGGACGCCCACCTGTCTTGTGACCCCATATCCCCCGAGCCCCTCATTTTCACCTATTCCCCGACGCGTCCTACCCTTCAGCCCCACCTTGGCTGGGCTGGACCCCTCACCCAGTGCCTCTCCCTGTCCCCAGAGGAGGTCCGAGAGCTACTGGCCACTCTGGAGGGCCTGGACGGGGAGGACTGGCTGCCCCTGGAGCCTGGGGAGGAGGAACCGGAGGAGCAGCCAGAGGAGGAGCAGCCAGAGGAGGAGCAGCCAGAGGAGGAGCCCGTGGCCCCCAGCACCGGGGGCCCCGAGCACCTGGAGGAGGAGGCGGCGCTGCAGCTGGCTCTCCACCGGTCCCTGGGGCCGCAGGGCCAAGAGGCTGAGCAGGAGGAAGCTGCTGCGTTGCAGCGGGCGCTGGCCCTCTCCCTGCTGGAGCCGACCCCCCTGGAGGCCGAGGAGGAGTTGCTGGGCGGGGGGCCTGGTGGCCAAGCCCAGCTGGTGGTGCATGTGGCCTTTGAGCAGGACATGGACGAGCTGGACCGGGCACTCGGGGCTGCCCTGGAGGCGCACCTCCGGGAGGAGACAGTGGCGCTCCGGGGTCACACGCTGCCCGCAGAGCTGCTGGCCCGCCTGGAGCGGCGCCACGGTGTGAGCCTGGCCCTTCACAATGACCGCGCTGTCCTCCGTGGCTTTGGGGCCCAGCCCACCCGTGCAGCCCGCCACTTAAGGGCACTACTGGCTGGCCCCTGGGGTCAGAGTGTGACCTATCCTTTGGAGGCTTCGAGCCCCACCGGTGAGTCTGCACCTGGGACAGGGGGTGGGGGGGGGGTGGGCTAGCTCCCTGAACCCACCCGTGCCCCGGGCATGGCGCAGACCTTCTTTCTCCCCGTGTGTCAGGGCCACAGCAGAGGCCGAAGGGGCCCTGGGGCAGGCTGGAGCGTCTGGCTGAGGACAGCCCCGAGTTCCAGGAGGTGGTGCAGACCTTCTATGACACCCTGGACTCTGCCCACAGCAGGATCTGCATCGTCCGGGTGAGTCTAGTTCTGGTCTTGTCAGCCGTGGCCTCCTGGGCTCCTGGCACCGTTTTCGCCTTGCAGAGCCTGTGGGCTGTCCTTTTTGCCTGTCAGGGTCAGCTGGCCCGGAGCCCGGCGGGGGGCAGGCTGGGAGCTGTTGGAGGAGGGAAGAGCACCGGCTCCCAGACCATTCCCTGCCAGAGGCCGTTCGCAGAGTCTGGGGTGGGGCAGACAAGGGCGCAGAGGTGGCGGGAGGCCGTTCACAGAGTCTGGGGTGGGGCAGGCAAGGGCGCAGAGGTGGCCGGAGGCCGTTCGCAGAGTCTGGGGTGGGGCAGACAAGGGCGCAGAGGTGGCGGGAGGCCGTGTCCGAGACCTGACAGGCTTGAGCAGGGTCCTGCGTTGCCAGCTACACCAGCGATGCCATCTTGTGGCTCCTGCAAGGATTACTCCACAGAGAGCCCGTGCTGTTCCGGGTCTCTCCTGCCTCTCACAGTCGCTCCAGCAAGAAGAGGGCTGGCTGGACTGGCCGGTGTGGCCCAGCGGGTAGAGCATCGGCCCGCGGACCAAAGGGTCCCGGGTTCGATTGCGGTCAAGGGCACATATCTTTGTTGCAGGCTCCTCCCCGGCCCGGGCCCTGGTCAGGGCTTGTGCAGGAAGCAATCCATCGATGTGTTTCTCTCACATCGATGTTTCTCTCTGTCATTCCCTCTCTCTTCCACGCTCCCTAACGATCAATGGGAAAATATCCTCGGGTGCCGAGTAACCAAACAAAAAGAGAAGAAGAGGGCTGGCTGCAGGGCCGCCGCCTCCTCCTGTCGGGTCACTCGCTAACTGAGGCATCTCTGAGCGTGGGTGCGCCTCACAAAAGGCTGGGACCCCCGTGGGAGCCAGAGAGAAACCCCAGGAGCGCAGGGAGACGAGGCTGAGGAAGGGCTGGGGAGGGGCGGGTGTTGCAGGGTGGCAAGGCCCAGGGCATCTGCATGGCCAGAAGGAAGGGCAGGAGGAGGCTCTGCCGGGCTGGTCAGCTGGCAGTGAGGGTGAGGGCAGGGCTGGAGCTGAGCTGGGCTGGGGGAGGAGGGTGACTTGGCAGTGAGGACAGGATCCAGTCTGAGAAGTAGCTGGTGATGGGAGGATGGAGGGGGAGGAGTAGCTGGAGCAGAGGGCAGGGCTGAGTGCTCATGGGCAGGCTCACGGAGGGCGAGACAGCGAGAGCTGGGCCCATGCGCCAGTGATGCCAGCCAGGTGCTCTCGACTCTCGATGCACAAAGTGTGGGTGGACCCAGCACCTGGGTGACCTGGAGCCGGTCAGAGAGACAAGACCTCTGGGCTTCCCCAGACCCGCCCTGCCAGTCGCCACCACCTGCCACCACTGCTTTCTTGGAGATGACCGTTAACCTTCGGACCAAGTACATTTCCTCCACTTCTGCACCTGGCAGCTGTCCCTTCTGCGCGTGGGGAGGGGAGGGACACACTGCAGCCGCGTCCCTGGCTCCCTGCATGTGTGGTCAGTTACGTGCACGTGCGTCTCCCAGGCACCACCTGTGTGACTCTGGAGGGTACACCTGAGTCTCTTCCCCCGGCCCCGCTGCCCCACTTCACTTGGGAAACTGTTTCTCGCCCTCCTTCCCGCCCTCACCTCCTCCGTCGTCCACCGCACAGTGTGGTCGGACACATCGTCTTTATTCTGTCGTCAAGGTCGACAAATGAGCTTCGCCGTCTATTCTGCAACCATCACAAAGCCCCATCCTTGGGCTGCAGGTTGATGGATACAGAGATAATGGAAAATGTCTTTACCATTGAGCCACAGAGCGCGTGGAGAAATGCATCCTAGTGATGAAAACAGGATTGTGTGAGAGAGGATGCGCCAGGGTTCGAGGACGGGCGGCTCTTCGCTTTCCTCGCGCTCTCCGTTCTTTTCTGTGCTGTGCTTGGCACTGGGTCGCTCCTTGTGCTCCTGGCGGCCCTCTTGCACAAATCTTGTTTTCTGTTCAGTAGAAGCATCTCCTTGAGTGGGTACTAACCATCTTTTTTTTTAAAAATTAATTTTGAGAGAGACAGGAAGAGAAAGAGACCTTGGTTTGTTGTTCCACTTGTTCATGCATTTATTGCTTGATTCTTGTATGTGCCCTGATTGGGGGTGGGGGGATTGAACCCATAACCTTGGTGGATTGGATGATTCTCTAACCAACTGAGCTACCCAGCCAGGGCCTGGTAGTAACCATCTTGAACTTTTAAATTTTGTTTGCCTTTTACGGTGAGAGGTAATTTGCAAATATAATTTGATATTGATGCCAAGTATTCTCTTTCAAACAAAAGTTGCATTTGTGGTTTTTTTTAAACATTTCTGTTCACTTAAATGAGCACCGCTGGTTCTTGCCTATGTTAACGTGTCCTGATTTTGTCCTCACCAATAACAGCGTGGCTGCATATAGTGTTCGGGATCAGAATATGTCTTCTTTCCAGGAATCTTGGAAAAACATTACTCTTTTTCTTTGAAAATGTTTGCTCTTGGAAAGTTAAAAAAAAAATCTCTCTAGTTTCTTAGCGCCGGGTATCAGCGGGGAGACACCCGTGTGAGGATGCGAGACTTTTTCTGTTTGTGCGTTGACGTTGGTGTGTGTGTGTGGGCATGAGTGGTCTTTCGCTTTGAAGGTTGACAGTTTCTGGCAGGGACGTGTCCTTCCCCACTGTCCTGTCATCTCATGGGTCCCTCCCACCTGGAGACGCCACCTCCAGCGCGGGGACACTGCGTCCGTCCCTCCCGTGCTCCTGTCACCTGCTGTCCTCTTCCTGTGCAGTTCCCTTCGCACGGGCCTCAGCCTCCTCCCTCACGGTTCTCTCACAGTTTCCACTCTTTTCTCTAGCTCTGAACTCGGAGTCTCTCCTTAACTCTAGCTCCAGGATCTGATTACTATCTGGCCTCCCCGCTAGATTTCGTTCAGCAATTTCATTCTTTAAGAGTTTTTAAAAAATTATTTTTCAGCCCGAGCCAGTTTGGCTGTGTGGATAGAGCGTCAGCCTGTGGACCAAAGGGTCCCGGGTTCGATTCCGGTCAAGCGCACATACCTTGGGTTGCAGACCGGGGTGCGTGCAGGAGGCAACCAATTGACGTGTTTCTCTCACATCGATGCTTCTCTCTGCCTTTCCCTCTCTCTTCTACTCTCTCTAAAAAAAAATATATCCTCGGGTGAGGATTAAAAATTTTCTTTTTCAGGTAATAGTTCAATTCCATTCTTAATGTAAGAACTCGCTAATTTTCAGAGTACTTGTTTCACATTTGCTAGCTTTGTTTTGTGGATATGCTATCTTTTGCCTCGCCCTGCAGACTGTTAGAATTTCCTTAGAAACTGTGTGGGTCCCTGCAGCTCGTCCATGGCTGGGGTGTGACTGGTCGCCTGGTCTTCCCAGCACCGCGAGGCCCAGGGGTGTCCCTTGGTGTTGGGGGTGAAGTCCTGGTGCAGGGGAGGTACCTGGCTCAGCTTCTCTCTGCAGAGGCCTGTCTGTGGTGCCCAGAGCTGGTGAGTGGTAGGGCCTCCTGGAAGGTTGGCCCTGCGGTCTCCCCAGACCGTGACCTCCTCCAACACAGGGCTCATATATATATGTTTTTATTGACTTCAGTGAGGAAAAGAGAGGAAGAGAGAGACAGAAACATCAATGATGAGAGAGACTCATGGATCCGTTGCCTCCTGCACGCCCCACATTGGGGATCGAGCCCACAACCCGGGCATGTGCCCTGACGGGGAATTGAACCAGGACCTCCTGGTTCACAGGTCCAGGCTCCTCCACTGAGTCACGCAGGCCAGGCCAACACAGGGCTCCTGGTTTCCCACCCCAGCGCTGTCCCTTTGGCCCAGAGGGTGGGGCGGGTCTCCAACTAACCCTGTGGCCGCCTGGCAGGTGGAGCGCGTGCTGCACCCGCTGCTGCAGCAACAGTATGAGCTGTACCGAGAGCGCCTGGAGCAGCGCTGCGAGCAGCGGCCGGTGGAGCACGTCCTGTACCACGGCACGTCGGTGCCCGCTGTCCCCGAAATCTGTGCCTACGGCTTCAACCGCAGCTTCTGCGGCCGCAATGGTGAGCCGGGGAAGCCTGGGGGCGCGGGGCGTGGGCTCTGTCCCCCGGGAGCCCTGACCCCAGCCCTTTGGCCCGCAGGCACGCTCTACGGGCAGGGAGTATACTTCGCCAAGCGCGCCTCCCTCTCCGTGCAAGACCGCTACTCGCCCCCGGACGCCGAGGGCCACAAGGCAGTGTTTGTGGCGCGAGTGCTGACCGGGGACTACGGGCAGGGCCATCGCCAGCTGCGGGCGCCCCCTCTGCGCGCCCCGGGCCACGGGCTCCTGCGTTACGACAGCGCCGTTGACTGCCTCCGCCAGCCCAGCATCTTTGTCATCTTTCACGACACCCAGGCGCTGCCCACCCACCTCATCACGTGCGAGCGCATACCCGGGGTTCCCCTTCAGGACCCCTCTGGGCCCTCGGGCCACTCCCCGGACTCCTAGCCCCAGCGGCCCCTCTCGGCTCTGTCCCGCTCGGCTGGCCTCCTGCTCTCCCCAGGCCCCAGCTGCACACAGCCTTACGGATCTGCTGCCGGAGCCGCCCCTGCCTCCTGTCGAGGTTCGGGGACCCGGGGAGCAGCGTGGAGGGCTGGGGCGGGGTCCCCTCAGGGGCGCGCCCAGCCACCAGGGGTCAGCAGAGCCCAGGAGGAGGGCTGACGGCCCACACCCTCCGCCGAGGCCACACCTCTCTTAAGCGCGACTCTGTTATTTGAATAAACGTGGAACCAGGCAGAGGGACCTGCTGGAGCAACTAGTCCATCCGACCCCAGTGGAAAGGTGGGCGGGACCTCCGCGTGGTGAGGGGCAGGGGCAGGGGCGGGGGCGGGGGCAGAGCCCGCTGCTCCTCTGGGGCGGTCCAGGGCGCGCACCCCACGTCGCCTTAGTGTCACGCACGCGCCCCAGCAACGTCTCCTTGCGGACCGGCCCACCCGTGTGCGCGGGGAGGGGGCCGTGTCTGGCGACAGGGGCTCCGCCCAGGCCGAGCCGCACTCGTGTTCCAGTCCCACCGCCTCCGTGGGCTCCCGGCCCCGCGCGCACTCGGGCGCCCCATTGCTCAGCGGCGTTCGGTTGGGAGCCTGGGCGGGGCTCCGAGCTCGCCCCCGCCCGCGCCGCCTCCCAGGACTCTCCGGGTCCAGCAGTCCTGGCTGCGGCGGCCGAGCCTCGCTGAGCTGAGCCACCAGGCACGTATGCCCGGGTCCGATGGAGAGGCGCGCGGCTCACGGGAGCCTCGGGGTGGGGTGGGGGCTCTCCGGCCTCAGAACTAAGGGGCTACGTCCCGGAACTAGGGGCGACGTGGCGGCCCGTCCTCCCTCGGGAGGACTCCACCTCTGCACCCCGAGACTGCGGAACTGGTCGGGCGGTGCCCAGGGTGTGGACAGGAAAGATTGTTGGGGAGGCCCGGCTGCCCCCGGGGCGCGGGCGGGGGCTGGAGCTCAGGCGGCCGGTGGAGGAGCTGGGAGAGGCGGGGCGGAGTGGCCCCCTGGGTGCCCCTGTCTCCTCCCCATACCTTAGCCCGAGGGCCGCGGCACAGAGCCCACATTGTGCCCCCACGCCACCCCACCCCCGCGGGAACAGAGCCCCATTCACCCCTCGCACGCCAGCGCTCTTGGGGACGGGGAGCTGGAGTGTGCACGCGTGGGTGTGCGTGCGCTCGGGCAGCGCCGGCGGTGCGGGTGCGGGTGTGCGTGCTCGGGTGGGTGCTGAGCGGCGGCCCGGCTCCCTCCCAGCCCTGCCGCAGCCCGCAGCCAGCTCCCGGGCCCACGCCGCTGCGGCTCCGGCTATTTATAGGAGTTCACTGCGGAGACGCGTGCGGGGCTGGCGGTGGGGCCTTGGGGAGTCTTAGAGGCGGAGACAGCTTGGAGGTACAGCGCCATTGTCCAGGGGATGGGGTCGGGCCTGGAGGGGAGGGGCAGCGGTCAGTGCTTCCTGATGGCCTGGTTTTCCTGGTGGTCAGAGGATTAAAGGAGACGGGGGCCAGGTGTGGGGTTGGTTGTGGGCGTGGGGTGGCGGGTGTCTGAGTGATGCGGTGGAGGGTGGGGTCAGTGTCCAAGTGGAGGTAATTACCCCTCCCCTGCCGTTGGTCAGGGTCAAGGGTAGGGGTCAGTGTCCTCTGATGTGTGAGCCCCTGGGGGACAGCACAGAGGGGTCAGCGTTTGGGTGACTAAGAGGAGGGGGGGCAGCAGTGAGGGGAGGCACTGTCCTAGTGATGGCCTGGAGGCAGTGAGGTCAGTGCTTGGGAGGGGTCACTGTGTGGTGTCCGAGGGATGAGCTGGAGGGGGCGGGGCCAGCTGTGGTGGGTGGAGAAGGTGGGGGTCAGTGTGTGATGAGGTGGGACGGGGCGGGGGGGCGTCCGTGTCCAGGTGGATGGGGTGGGGCCAGTGTCTAGGTTAAGAAGGTGCTGGGTCGGTGTGCAGTCCCCCCAGTGTGACCCCCTCCTGCTCCCTCTCCCGCAGGCCATGTCGGGGGAGGACCTTGAGGTGCGGACAGCGGCCGAGGATGGTTCCTCCAACGGAGGCAGCGGCTCCCCCAGCCCCGGGGACACCCTGCCCTGGAACCTGGGCAAGACGCAGCGGAGCCGGCGCAGCGGAGGCGGCTCGGCCGGCAATGGCAGCGTCCTGGACCCAGCTGAGCGGGCAGTCATCCGAATCGCAGGTAAGCGAAGGGCCTCGTCCTCCGGTTTCTAAGCGCTGGCTGGTTGCCCTCGCGCTGCGGAGCGCTGCGCTGCGTGCAGGTGTAGGGGCTGGAAGGACAGGTGAGGTCTGCGGGTCAGAGAGGGCCCTCCTGTCCCCGCGATGGCAGGCAGCACCGCGCCACCTACTGGCCGCACCGGTCTCTGCACCGGGCCTGAGGTTAAGCTGCTCGGCGGCGGCGCCATCACAGGCCTCATGACCCGGCCCAGCGCCCCAATGCCCTGCGGATACTTTCTTGGGTTCCTGGGGCAGAGCTGCCTTCCAGGCCCCTGGTCTTGGCTGCCCCCATGAGGGGCGGTGGAGGCACGTCCTCAGGACAGGAGGGTCCCTCCCTGAGCCAGGGCCTGGCCATTCTGGGGAGGAGGATGGGAAAGCCAGCTGGACAGTGGCCCCTCCCTTGGGGAAGTGGGTGGCTCGTTCTGGAAGACCCCCCAGGATGTGCTGGGCACAGGGGAGCCCGTGGAGGGTCTCTGTGCCAGGCTGTGGAGTCCTGACCCCACCCACTATTCAGACCCGGATGATGATGAGGGGTTTGGAGGGCAGGGCCTGCTCTGAGGGGGCTGAGAGGGTGGCCCACGGCGTGTGGGGAGAGGCTGGGGGGCCAGCTGCTGAGCAGGGATGGTGTGGGCAGCAAGGGACTTTGGGGGTGGACACACAGAGGAGCAGGACAGCAGGACAGGGCGGAGGCTGGCCACCCACCCCCCACCCCCAGGGGCAGGTGTGAAGGGGACCCAGGACCTGACAGGCTTTTTTCAAGCGTCACATATGGATTTTAAAAGAGGTCCTTGCCCTGGCTGGTGAGCTCAGTGGTTAGAGACCAGCACATGGAAGGGTCGCAGGTTGGGTTCCCAGTCGAGGGCACGTACCTTGATTGAAGGGTTGAAGGGTCCATCCTGGCCTCAGAGGCAACCAACCCAGGTTGCTCTCTTTATCCACTCCCCCTCTCTTCCCTCCCTCCTTTCCACTCTGTAAAAAAAAGAAATCAGTGGAAAAGTATCCTCGGGGTGAGGATTAACAACAACCAAAAAAAGAGGCCCTTTTTCCCCAAACGAAAGCGAATCAGGAATGTCCTTCCACACCCTCGCCTTCCTCCGCGCGGTCCTGCCCCAGCAGTGGGCTCTGGCCACGCAGCAGCCAAGGCCAGGGCAGGGCCTCGGGCATCGCCTGCTGATGTTCTTAGCATTGATGTGCACCCATTTTCCTTCCTTTAAAATCGTTCCCGTTGCTTGTCAAAGATCGAAAATTGTTTGCTGAGCAACATTTAATCTTTCTGCAAGTTGTTTTTGAGTTTGACACGCATCTTCATCCAATAATGCTTGTCATTGTTGGTCTCCAAACTTTTTCGATTGACCTGGACGTTCTTTGTCTTTCACATCGAAATCATCACTTTTAAAGCATTTAAATCAGCGTTCACGAGTATCTTGAGATGGAGCAGGTTCACCATAAGCTTCCCGAAGTATATGATAACTTGTTCTTCAAAATAAAGTAATGAATTAAAACTTCCCACAAATGCTCTTTTTTGGCACAAAATTCGACATTTTTATTTTTTATTTTTTGTGAGTTTATTTGAGCCAAACTGTCGACATATGCCAGGAAGCAGAACCTCAACGAATTGAGATAATGCTCTGGAGAATGGTGGGGTTACATTTGTATTTATACATTGCAATCAAAGGAGGGACGTAGGTGGGTTACATGAAATTCATTGGTGATAGATTAAGGAGGAGGGATAAAGCAAAGCAGGGGAAACCCCTGGGATTGGATAAAAAGTAAAATGATGGACACATACTTAGGTGGGTGAAGGATCAATTAACATGATAATGAAGGAATTTGTGGTATCTGTCCTGGCGCCCAGCACATTTGGTTGTGCCCCAGGGGCTCCAGAAAAAGGGAAGTTACAAGTTACCCAGACATTTCAAGGGTCTGTTATCATAGATGCAAAAAGACAGATAGGCTCAGTTAAGGTAAAGGTTGACCTTGTCAGTGAAGATACTGGCCTGGGATGTAACTACCCACCATCACTGCTTTAGTTAAAGTTTAAATTCAGACCATCCTTTGTGGTGACTTCAGGTCTCTGAGTTTGCAAGACCGCCATGCAGGCCTTCCCTGAGCTGTCAGGTTAGCAGGTGGCCCCTTTCGTCCACACATCCCCCTTTTGGTCATAAATCAATCCAAAGGATGCATTGATGACCAACCTTTTGGTTGGATAATGGAGTCCCACGTTGCTAGGAAGGCTCATTCCTAGGATGTCTCAGTGTCAGCATGTCTTGCTGAACAGGTGGACCACTGGGGATGGAGCAAGACCATAACCTTAGATGGCATTTAAGGTCGAATTATTATTATTCAAAAAAGGGCAGGTAAATGGGAGGCAGTCAGATCCTATATGTCCTTGTTAAAAAGTACTAGTCTGGATCATTTCTAATTTTTGAGCCACTATGATCCAAGTCTTTTTGCTGTTTGTCAAGTTTTGTTTTTCTGCATCTAGTATAACATTTACATATCAGGAACAAAAGTAACAATACTAAGCCAACATTGATTAGGAACAGAAAATGTCTAATACTAGACAAGGAAAAGTCCGAGGGTAACAAGCATCCCAGCCAAACCCTTTACATGTATCATCATAAATTTTATAAGCTAAGTATATATTTTCCAAAATATCTAAAACACCTTCAGAAAATTTGTCATATGAAGTTTTGAAGCTTGTTGTCAATACAACAAAATAGCATTCATATCAAATCGCATATATATTAACATGTGTGTAACTCCATCTATTGAAAAAAATCCGCATTGTTAACCGGTACACCTAGTATGTTTTTATTGATTTCAGAGAGATGGAGAGGGAGAGGTAGAAACATCAATGAGAGAGAAATATGTATTGGCTGCCTCCTGCACGCCCCCTACTGGGGATCGAGCGCACAACCTGGCCATGTGCCCTTGACTGGAATCGAACCGGGACCCTTCACTCGGCAGGCCAACGCTCTATCCACTGAGCAACACCAGCTAGGGCTCAAGCCGGGCTTTTTATTTTTTTTAATCATTTTTTAAATATGTTTTTTGAGAGGAAGGGAGAGGGAGAGACAGAAACATCAATAATGAGACTCACCGATTGGCTGCCTCCTGCACGCCCCCCACTGGGGACTCAGCCCGAAACCCTGGCATGTGCCCTGATCAGGAATCGAACCGAGACCCTTCAGTCCGCAGGCCTGCGCTCTAACCACTGAGCACACCGGCCAGGGCTGAGCCCTTTCTATGTTGATACCAATTCCGGGTCCAACGTTGCAAGGGAAAGGTTCTTAGTGGAGGCGGAGGGGGAGGATGGAGGGTGCCCGGTGATTCAGGTGAAGCAGCCGGATCCCATCGGGTTACGGAGAGGTCGGGGCTGGAGAGGGAGGGGCTGCCACGGGGTTGGGAGCCGGACCGGAACGGACGGGGAAAATTCAGGCTGTTGCGCCCCGGACCCGGCCAGAAGCGGAGGTGGGGTTCGCTCGCTGGCACGCGCCGTGCGTATAGCGTTGAGCCCGCGGAGCCCCGGGTCCAGCC